CGCTTACACCACACTTCTTCATCAAAGTTCACGCAAGCGCAGTTGTCCTTTCTCATCGTGGAAGTTTTATACTTCATTCCATTGTTCCGCAAAATTATAAGACGTGTATTGACCTGACCTACTGTCAAGCGTGAGCGCGCGGTGAGACGCGTCCGCCCATCGGCCGCCAGTCGAGGCGGTGCGCGGCGAAGGTAAGTTTTGATAATTTTTACCTTGGCGAAAAGCTCCAGAGACATTACGGACAATCCGCCAACATTCAGGGTAACAATTCTGCTGCCCCTTTGCAAAAGACACAGTATTAAAATTTGAACACATGCAAAGGTGCTACATACCACCGAACGTTGTACCTGCATTCGGATAAAAATATACTAGTCAAATGTATCCAGGTTTGATGATTAAAAATAATTAACTCTAAGTTAATATCATTAAACTTTTATTGGATTCTCTATTTATTATCTATCATTTACTAGATAATCTATTCATCTCGCCCCTACAAAAACATATATTAAATATGTTACAGGTTATAACAGCCGTAAAACGCTTAGCATTATTTCCGTATTCCTTTATGATAGGGATTTCGTTCTCATCTTTTAACGTGTTACAAATATGCTGAAGTTGTTTCATCAAGAACTTTACCTATAGAGTCAACAATACATTAGTTAAATAGTTAATAAAATACGGAATATTGTAAACTGCAAATCATCGAACTGTTCACTAGCGACACCTAAAAGATTTAAATATTCTCGCGCAGATTATACTAAATCGCATTAATAAATTTTCTCGATATATTAAATCGACAACTGATATATTTCACATATATATTTACTTGTTTTAAACCTTATCTATTATATTGCATATTGTAAAATGCTGTCAGATAATACTTCTACTTTCACTGTTGCATAGAATATATAACGGTGAAGTAAGATAACGATGCCTTCGTTAACTGGAATACAATGTAAACTAGAAAAGAATGTCTTGTACGATACTATTTATGCCGAATGTCGAATATGCACGCAATATGTTGAACGTAACATACAATACATATAGTTATTTTTTACCGTGGCGAATAGTTCGATGGAGAATGAAAACAGTCCACCAATAGACGGACAGAAAGGTTTGGTGCCATTTTGCAAGATAAACAGTATCATTTTTTGTATGTACGTAGGTGTTACGTACCAACGAACAGTGTATCTAGAAAGTAACAATTAAAGCAATCAAAAATTGGAAAAATAAAATCAATACCAATTTTCGTTATGAGTACTTAAGTGAATTTTGAGGCAACCAAATTTTCTTTTAATTGAAAAAACTAATTTTAATTGAGAAATTCTAACTCGTCAAATTATTATTTACATTATTTTAACATACTACTGAAATGGACAATACTTTAATCACTGACAGACAATCGGAGTCTTGAAAAAACGTTAATCGCGACGACAAACGATAAATAACTCTATAAACGCATATTATTGTATTTTAAAATTTAAATATTTTTAACTGTTTGGACACAACGTTAAAAATATCTTAAAATTGGACACTGGCTATTTTTTAAGCACTTTGTGTTTTGTACTCTTTAAGATACAAACAAAATAACACATGGTGTACATAGGTTCAAACGAAACAAAAATGGACTACAATATATTAATTTGTATCTCTTGATAAAGTCGAGCGCCAAGTTTATGTCGGTAATTCTTACGCGGTAAGAAATACGTGATTATTGTAATCGGTAACTTCTTGTCCGGCATAATTGGATACAAACAAGATTATAAAAATTGCAATGGTAATTAGAAGATGCAGATAACATTGCTCGATCTCGCCGTCACGTGACATAGTTTCAGATAACTAAAACATAAAGTAATTAATGTTTTACGTACATATATTTTACAATAAATTATTCTAGACAAGGTTGCAACAAAATCTTTTAATTTAGATATTACGATGTTAATAATTCTTTCAATTACAATATCAAGTCAAAAGAATCATTTAATATTACATTAACATTACATCTAATAACGTAGAAACTCACTCTATAAAGATTGCAGCTCAAACAAATTACACCAACTACTGTTACGCCAAGTAGTAATCCTTTAAAAGCGGAATATACGAGCATAATAAAACTTTAACAAAAAGAAAATATTATTACGTGCATTTATTATTGTTGTTAGGTAAGAAATACTAACTGGACAGCTTGGCGATGAATATCGACAGCACAGGCAATTTCCTTACAAATTATAATCTCATTTTCCAAGCTAATATTCTTCAGCATGTTTATCATCATTGCCTTTTCGATGCGGTAACTGTAAAAATTTTTTGTTATGCACAATTAACCAAACACAAAAAGAAAAATGATTTGTTTTTATATTTTATATTGTCTAGAAAAGTTTTTTCAATCGTCATAAGAAAAACAGAAAAGGCTAGTTAAAAAAAGTGATATGTTCAAAATAGTTTTCCTCTACATTATATGTATAAAAAAATCGCGATACATATCTACAATTTAGTATAATAATATTTATTCTACCAAAATAGACACTCCTGTAATAAGAGAACTATGTTACACAATCAAATAATTATTAATGTCTTCACCTGGCTATTCTAAACATTCCACAGGTATGTTTGATATATGACACAAGCATCGTTCCTGTTGCTACTACAGTAGTACCTCCTATAGAAGCAGATGCGAATAAAGTCGGAATTATTAAATATAGAAAGCTTTCTCGCCCAATGAAGTACTTAGGTATAACTTTCTGCATAACGTAACGTGATTCAGACTTGTCTACGAGCAAGGTAGTATCAAGAAGTTGCAGTAAAAACGTCAATAACAGGACAGTAATTACACAGCAAACTTCAAACACTAAGATATAAAAAGAAGAAATTTTTTTACAACATTGCTTCTCTTATTTTTTTCGAATAATATTGTTTCAGGCTATTTCGTGCATTAACCAATTCACAATGTTAATGCAAGCTAATAATCTCAAAGTGTCCAAAGTTATAATTTTAATTAATTATTCAACTATTAATATTAATATAATAATTGGAAACAAAAAATCTTATCGTGCTAATATACCTTCATTCCATTTTATTCTTAAAATTTTTACTTACACGACATCCTTTAATATGTTAACATATATAGTATAGTAAAATGGTTAAGGCGATCGCAAACTAGTTCGCTTGATAAGTGATTAAATATTAATAAATGTTGTCTTACACATCATTATAGCCGTGAAACGTTTTGCGATGTTTCCATATTTTGTTACAATAGCGATCTCATTCTCATCTTTCAGATCGTTATAAATATGCTGAAGTTTATACATTAACCACCTTATCTATTATACCAATAATTCTTCTTAACAACTCCTCGTACCGTTAAATTTAGAAAACATGTTATGTAGTATATTAAAAAAGCTTCAATGTTTGAAAATACTAAATTTAAATATAACTTACAGTATGAGCATTAACATAACAAGAATGGTATGAGAACGCGTATATAATAACAACTAAGGCGATAGAAAGAACATTAATGACAAGCGCTGGAGTGCATTTTGTAAACGCAAATGTTGCAAACTAAAACCAAACCATTTATTTCAAAATTAACAGTACAAGATTCTTCTATTTAATTAACTAATTAGAAATCTAAAATATTGAGCTGTATAACAACAACACAGTTGCACATATGGATGTACATACCAGGTATGTAATACCGCCAATCAGAAAAGCCAAATTCAAAATTGCCTGAAATTCAACGAGTTTTGTTCGTTTATAAGGCCACAAGCCAATCGAGAGCAGAAGAATCCGATTGAACC